ATGGAGCCAAATCTTGAACTCAGCCTCTTTTATCAAACCGTGAGAGCACGGTATCCTCTGAGACACAGAGAGGACAAAATCCTTCTCTATACTAAAACCCGGTTTGGGTAAATTTGAGAAGGCCTGGCCATCATTTGTACACCCTCCCTGGATGCATGGTATCCACTTTTATTTTGCTATCTCCAAGCTGTCCTTCTGAACAAAACCTTTGTGAATAGATAAGCAGCTCCTCACACGCCCATGGAGCTGCTTTAGCAGGTTCATCTATATAGCAGATATTTAATGAGCATTTATTATAAGTTAGATAGCATGACACCTAAAGTTGGGAAAGTATACTTTAAAGCATAGCCCTCAGAAACCCACTGTTTAATGTGCAATACAAACAAATGAGTAAATAATTTCAGTGCAATATGGCCAATTGCTGTGGAAACAGCGAGTTCTACCTGAGTGTTGATGGAGCAGACCATGCTGGAGCTGACTGGAAGGCTGTGGGAGTTCCTGAAGCGGAGAAGGTGGGGCAAAGAATCGGAGGCTAAAGCAATACATGTAAAGGCATGGAGATGTGAAACACGTATGGCATTTTAGTGGTTTAGGTGGCAGGGGTGTAAGAAGGAGGGAGGGTGTGGCAGGGGATTGCATTCAATAATTTAGCCAATATTAATTGAGTGACTCTATTTAGCCTGGGCACTGTGCAGGGAGTCTTGGGTGGAGAGATGAATGCAGCCTAGTCCTGGTCCTCGAGGAATTAACAAAGGAGACACGTGTCACCAATAAATTATATTTTTGTGAGAGTGTGGTAAGTAACAATCGAAGGAGTGCCATGTTCTTTTGCTCATGCTCATTCATTCACAGAGAAGGGAGATCCTGTTCTGTTGCCAGGCATCTTGCTGTCAGGAGGGAGGGATACCTGCAAAGGCGAGCAACTGCAGACACTGCTTGTTTGCGAGGACCACACAGTGTACTGGGGGCAACAGATCCTGATTAAGCACTTATGATAACATATATACACCAGCAACTGTGACAAGTGTCATCCAGGAGGTGCAGAGTTCTAGAGAACTTAAGGCAGGATTACATTCTAATTAGGGAGGGCAGGGAAAATTGTATTTACGATCAACCCTCTTACACAATAATTTCTCCTCGCTTGAATTCTTAATTTGCTTTATCCAACTTGGAGTTCACTTCAAGTAAGTTTTGAAAGAAGGTTACCTGGGTAACAGATTGTCAGAGCTCTTGTATCTCTGAGAATGTTTGTCTTCCACTTTCATAAATGGCCAGGAACACTCATGTAAAAAAGTCTTAAGTTACAATTCCCCTTCTCTTAAAACTCTCCAGAATTTGAGTCCTTGTCATTCGGCAATGTGACTTAGAGTAGATATGTTAGGCCTCCCGGATGGTTCCTTTTTAGGCAGCCTTATTTTTCTATCTGAATCTTACATTTTTATATATATATATATATATATATATATATATATATATATATATAAAACAATTCTAGCAGTTTCCTGAAAAAGTGAATATATTTTTAATATACAATCTGGCAATCACGCTCATTGGTATTTACCTAAATGAACTGAAAACTTACGTCCACACAAAAACCTGCACACAAATGTTTTTAGCAACTTTATTCATAATTGCCAAAACTTGGAAGCAATCAAGATGTCCTTTAGTAGGTGAACAGGTACATAAACTGTGGCCCATCCAGATGATGGACTATTCTTCACAGTTAAAATGAAATGAGTTATCAAGTCATGAAAAGGTAGGAGGGAGCCTGAAAGGCATATTACTAAGTGAAAGAAGCCGGTCTGAGAAGGCTGCATGCTATGGGCAGAACTGTGGAGACAGTGAAAGGTCAGTGGCTGCCAGGGGTTAGGGAGGAGGAGTGGTGACTAGGAGGAGCACAAAGGATTTTTAGGGCAGTGAAACTATTCTGTATGATACTATAGTGGTGAATTCATGTCCTTATACAGTCGTCCAAACCCATAGAATACACAACACCAAGAGTAAACTATGGACTTTGGGTAATAATTATGTGTCCATGTAGGTTCATCGATTGTAACAGAGGTACCACTGTGGTGTGGTGTTGATAGCGGGGGAGGCTGTGGGTATGTGCAGGGGCATGGGATATATGGAAAGTCTTTGTATCTTCTGTTCAGTTTTCTGTAAATCTAAAATTGCTCTAAAAAATAAAGCATATTAAAAAAAAAATAAATTCCCTGTAAATAAAAAAATTCTTACTAGGATATCTGTATTTTTCCTGGACTGGTACTATATTTTCATAGATATTTTAGCAGAAAGCTGGAAGCACTGTTTTGAGGAGACCTAGCCAGATGTAATTCTCCACCAGGCCTTCCCTCAGGCTGTTACGGTCATCTTTATGGTGATGTTATCTCTGTGTCTCTTGAGGATGCAGTGCATAGCGCAAGGAGAAAGGCTTGAGTGCTGCCGTAACTTGAATTCATTTTCATTCTGCCTACAAATCCTTAAAGAAGGGGGTCACTGAGTATATAGCTCTCTCACATAATTTATGAATTATTTTCTGTGTAAGAGTTACCAGTGTATTTCAAATTAAGATTAATGTACTCTTACAGTCCTTGCTGCCAACAGATGATATATTTTTAAGTGATACCTGTTTCTCTCTTTGCATCTTATCCTGGAACCTTGTATCTTCCATCTCTTCAAACATGTGGTATTTGGCTCCCAGATTATTTTTTAACACCTTTATTAAAATATAATTCACATAGCACAAAATCTACTCATTACAATATACTGGTCAATGGTTTTTAGTACAGTCACAGAGTTGTGCAACCATCTCCAAAATATAATTTTACAACATTTTATCCTTCCCTGAAAAGATCTCATACACATTAGCAGTCACTACTTTCCCAGCCCTAGGCAGACAATAAATTTTTTTTCTGTCTCCATAGATTTGCCTAGTCTAGATATTTAATATAAATGGAAAGAAAATATATGTGGTCTTTTGTGACTGGCTTCTTTCATTTAGTATAATGTTTTCAAGGTTCAACTATGCTGTATAGCATGTATCAGTACATCATTCTTTTTTTTTGAGGAAGATCAGCCCTGAGCTAACATCTACCACCAAACCTCCTCTTTTTGCTGAGGAAGATTGGCCCTGAGCTAACATTTGTGCCCATCTTCCTCTACTTTATATGTGGGATGCCTGTCACAGTATTGCTTGACAAGCGGTGCATAGGTCTGCGCCCAGGATATGAACCAGCAAACCCTGGGCTGCCGAAGCAGAGTGTGTGAACATAACTGCTATGCCACTGGGCCAGCCCCAGTACATCATTCCTTTTAACTGGCAAGTAATATTCCTTTGTAACAAATTGAAGAAGGCCAAACTATTTCCCATAGTGATTGCACTATTTTACATTACTACCAGCAAAGAATAAGAGTTTCAATTTCTCCATATCCTCACCAACACTTGATATTGTCTGTTTCTTTTAATATTATTATTATTATAACCATCCTAGTGAGTGTGAAGTGGTATCTCATTGTGGTTTTGACTCACATTTCCCTAATGACTAATGATCTTGAGCTTCTTTTTATATGCTTATTAGCCATTTTCATATTTTCATTGGAAAAATGTCTATTCAAATCCTTTGTCTACTTAAAAATTTTTATATTTTTATTGTTAGGTTGTAAGAGTTCTTTACATATTCTGGATATAAACATCTTATTAGATACATGATTTACAGATATCTTTTCCCAATCTGTGGGTTGTATTTTCACTTTCTTTATAGTATCACTTGCAGTACAAAGGGTTTAACTTTGAAGTAGTTCTATTTATCCGTTTTTTTCTTTTCTCACTTGTGTTTTTGGTGTCACATTTAAGAAACCATTGCTTAATCCAAGGACACAAAGATTTACTCCTATGTTTTCTTCTAAGAGTTTTATAATTTTAACTCTTACATTTATATTTTGGTTCCATTTTGTGTTAATTTGTGTATGTGACATAGTCCAACTTCGTTATTTTGCACATGGATATCCAGTTGTCCTAGCACCATTAAAAGACTGTTCCTCCCTCTTTGAGTTATCTTGGCAGCCTTGTTGCAATACAATTGGCCCTGAAAACATGAGTTTATTTCTGGACTCTCAATTCTGTTCCATTGATTTATATATCTATCTATTCTTGTGCCATACCACATTGTTCTGATTACTGTAGCTTTGTGGTAAGTTTTAAAATTTGAAAGTATGGATCTTCCACCTTTGTCCTTCTTTTTCAAGATTGGATATTCTGGGTCCCTTGGATTTCCATATGAATTTTAAGATCAGCTTGGCAATTTCTGCAAAAAAAGACAGTTGGGACTTTAAGGATTGCAATGAATCTGAAGATCAATTTTGGGATCACTGATATTTTAACAATATTGAGTCTTATAGTCCATGAATATGAATGTCTTTCCATTTATTTAGTTCTTCTCTAATTTATCTCAATAAAGTTTTGTAGTTTTCAATGTAAACGTCTTGAATTTCTTCTGTTAAATATATTCCTAAGGATTTTAGTCTTTTTCATAATATTATAAGTGGAATTGTTTAATAGCATTTTCAAAGTGTTCACTGTTCATATATAGAAATAATTGATTTTTGTATACTGATCACGTATCCTGCAACTTTATTGTAGTCATTTATTAGTTCTAATAGTACTTTAGAGGATTGTCTTTATACAAGACTATGCTATCTGCAAACAGAGTTTTATTTCTTCCTCTCTAATCTGGATGCCTTTTATTTTTTTTTCTTGCCTAACTGCCCTGGAAAGAACCTCCACTACAACGTTGAATGAAAGAGGCAAAAACAGGCATCCTTGTCATGTTTTGGATTTTAGAGAGAAAGATTTCAGTCTTTCACCATTAACTGTGGTTTTAGCTGAGGGTTTTTCATTGACATCCTTTGTCATCTTGAGAGTGTTCACTTCTATTCCTAGTTTCTTGAGTGTTTTATTGTGAAAGGGTGTTGGATTTTGTCAAATGCTTTTTCTGCATCTATTGAGACGATCATGCCATTTTTGTCCTTTATTTTATTAAAATGGTGTATTACATTGATTGATTTTCCTATCTTGAACCAACTTTGTGTTCCTGGGATAAATCCCACTTGGTTATGGTGTATAATCCTTTCATGTGTTGCTGAACTTATTTTCTAATATTTTGTTGGGAATTTTTGCATCTATATTCATAAAAGATATTGGGATGTAATTTCTCTCTATTATGATGTCTTTTTATGGTTTTGGTAAAAGCATAATACTCATCACAGAGAACGATTTGGGAAGTGTTCTCTCTTTTATTTTTTGGGAGGGTTTTGAAGGATTGGTATTAATTATTCTTTAAATGTTTGGTAGAATTTATCAGTGGAGACATCTGAGCCTAGGCATTATTTGTGGTAAGTTTTAATATTATTATTTCTTTTTATTTATTATGCCAATATTATAAGTTTGAATATTATGTCTCTTTATTTGTTATGTCTATTCAGATTTTCAATTTCTTCTTGAGTAAGTTTTGATTGTTTGTGACTTTCTAGCAATTTGTCCATTTCATCTAAGTTATCTGTTGACATACAACTTTTCATAGTTTACTGTTATAATCTTTTTATTTCTGTAATGTCAGGTTATTGATTTGATATCTTTATTCTCTTTTTAAAACAGGTATTTATAGCCATAAAGTTCCTTCTGGGCACTGCCTTCTCAGCATCCCATAACTTTTAGCATATTGTGTTTTTGTTTTTATTCATGTCAATGTGTGGTCAGCAAAGGAACTGAGAAAGAATGGGCAATGAGGTAGCAGGAAACCTAAAGGGTTGGTTTCATGGAAATCAAGAGATAAAAATATTTCAAGGAGGAGAGAGTGTTGACCCCACAGAATGCTGTTGAGAGAGTAAAATGAGGTCAGGGAAGCGCAGGTTTTCCTTAGTATTATGGAAATCATTAGTGGTTGGTTATGAACAGTTCTCCTGGGTTGGAGGGGGAGACAGAAGCCCTGGTGAAGTGGCCAAAGAGATGTCTGGAAGTGAAATCATAAAGGCAATCAATATTAGACAACTGCTTTCATAAGTTTTGCTGTGAGGTGGAGCAACCAGATGAGAGAAGTCCTAGGGGAGGGATGCGGGATGGCAGGAATGCTTGGCAAAGATGGGGGATCCTAGAGCATGTTTGTATGCTAATAGAAATGAGAGAGAAAGACACTAATAATTCAGGACAGAGTTGCAGAAATCCTTGAGAAGGAGAGAGAAGATGGGATCCAGAGGACAAACATGTTAGCCTTTCATGGGAAGAGAAACACTTCTTCCATTGTGGAAGGAAGAAAGAGCATATGGGTACAGACGCCAATGGAGATGATGGTGGGAGGATGAGAGAATTCCCGCACAACTGTTTCTAACTTCTCAGGAAAATGAGGTGAGGTCAACAGTTAAAAGTTGGCGCAGGTTAGTGGGAATATTAGAGGTCAGAAAACAGATGAGAAGGTGTTAAATGGACCTCTTGGAGAGAGGAAAAAATTTGTTTCTGGGGAGCATGTTAGACTTACTGGGTATTTTTTGGTAGCCATTTTGAGTTTAAAAAGAGCCCAGTTCGCACGGATATGTTCGTTTTCTCAGGGGAAGGCTCAGAGTAGATGGATAGTTTAAGTGGAGCAGTTGTTTTCCCAGGTGAGTGAATAGAGGATGATAAAGCAAGAATGTGTTAAATGTGCTTTGCCACACACACAGAGACACAGACACACACATACACAGACACATCACACTCATTTACATGCATGCCACACTCCCACGTGCATGCATACACACACTCACACACATCATACTTTTATACACACACTCCATACTCACAAGCACTAGCCCACTTAACTTTTACAGTAAACCCCCAACAGCACCTTAGTACTGTTTTTGATGTATCTGAAGATTGAAGGGCACTTGTAGTTTCCTCTCTGTGAATCACTCTCCTCCCTGTTCTTCAAATATTTTAAACATGATCATGAAGTAATCAGAGCCAGTGTTGGGATTCTGTTCTGTCCCTTTGAGCCATCCCTTCAGTGGAATTTCTTTGGAGCTTTTCCTTCTGACACCCAGCCTACTACTGTCCTGGTGGCTCCAGGACCTCCTCATGCAGTGGGTCTTCTCCGGACTGTGCTCCACACCAACTGACCACCCCATCCTCTCCTCAGTGTAGCTAGAATTTGGGCTCTGCTCCTCACTGGGATGTGACCTGCTCTGGAATATGGGAGCAATAATAATTTATTGTGAGGATTTAAAAAATATATAATGCATTGAATGTGCTCAATTCTGGGGAACATAGCATGTATTTAATAAATGCCAAAGTGATCAGTTTCTCTCTTTCCCTTAATCTGAACCTATGTTGTCTGTTCTGGTCACATTTCCTGAAAGACATTCATTCAGTTAGACATTTTTTACTAGCAAAATTTAATTAATTCTTGATGATAGAATTTCAAGTTTAACAGGGTTCTTCTGGAAATACCATCAGAATCTACAGTTGACTCTAATAGGACTGCAGGTGAGCAAAAGGGTCATATTTTGGGCATGCAGATCTTTTCACTTGGCTTAAATCATACAGAAGGACTGACTTTGATCATCATGAATTAAAATAAACTATACATTGAGAAGAGGAAATTAGGTTATTTTCATGGCCTGGTTGCTGGAGTAGTTCGTAAATAAAATGAATTATTAGGTTTTTAAAATATCAGAGTTTTGTGCCATATCCAAGGATTCTTGACCATGTTACAGAACAACACTGCAATATCATAAAAAAGTATTGTGCCACTGGCATAAACTCAAAGGGCATTTCTTTAAAAAGCAACCCCTTGGGACTGTGGGTGAGAATCTCTCTCTCACTCCGCTTTTGGCTACTGTGACATTGGCCATCACATCTGCTCGTCAAGTCCCAAGCGATAAGTCACTCTTGGTCTCTAAGGACAGAGGATTTTACATAAATGTGCCTCATTTACTAGCCATTTTTCCTGCATTGATTAGTCACCATTTTATTTTGAAAACAGTGCTAATGGCTAAGGTTAATCCTGAGCGGTAGTGGAAAGTAACAAAATGAACATACTCCCGCTTTTTAAAGTTGTCCTACTGAGCACATTAGCTTTTCGTGACTTGTGGCATATAAGAGAATTGTTCAGAGGCAAGGCTGAGACTTTGTGTTTTGATCTTTTACATTTCCCTTTTATTCTTTAGTTCTTAGAATGGTAACAAATTATATGTTATTGATGATTTTACAGTGTGTATATTGGCCAGTGCAAGTAATCCTACACTTGTATTGATCAGCAGCGATGGCTCATAATCTATGTGAGTATAACCAGCCCCATGGCATTATAGTCATGTGGTATTATGTATGCAAAACCATGTTCCTATGGTTTTGATGTTATGGGAAGTAGCAGACTGTTTTCTTAATTCTTGTAAGTTGAATTTCCCCCTAAAGACTCATTATGAAAAGGCATGTTGAAACGTGGGGTGTCATTACAGGATTGTACTCGCTTGGTGACAAGCAACAAAAGGAGAAAAACGTTTCTGACAATTTCTGAAATGTGATCATTAGAAATCACTCTCTGAAATTAATGAGATGCTCGAGAAAGCCAAGAGCTTAATAGATCACATCATGTGTGCAACTTGATGGGGGCTTTAAATGGGGATGCGATTATTTGCCAAGCAAAGGCAAGGGTTTGCACAACCAACCACTTTCTCACCACTGCTGCTTAATGAAAATCGAACAGATCTACAAGGATAAACATTGAAATGATTACAGAACATTCTGACCCTGAGGAAATTACATGTAATTCAATTAACAGCTAAAGCTTTCGTTTTATTCGCCAAAGGACTATCTTCTCTCTCTCTTTTTTGTTGAGGTGAGGAAATATTTTAGAAATCAGCTAGAAGGTAAATCCTCCCATGCAAACAACTGAATCTCCCATTTAGTGTTTCTTGTTTTTCCCCGTCTGTTGACTCTTGGCGTCTCCCCTGCTGCTCCTGATCCCCACCTGGCCCAGTCGTGATTCTTCTGTTGTGCGTCTGTCTCCATGGAGACAGACTGCTCAGAAGGGGGAGCCGTGCACAGTATCCAGCCGCGAACCTCTCTGGGCTCTCCTGGGCTCGGCTTCTCTTTGCTCGAAGTGCAGAAAGGAGGAGAAATTACCTCATCTTTAGAGGAGCATACATGTGTTTGGGACCAAAATTCCTCCCTCCGTGTGGTTCTGCAGATGCAGCTGAATAAAACCCTGAGAGGAGAGCTGGGAAGCCATCTGTTTCCCTTGCTGCAGTGTGGGGAGAGCCACGACAATTGTCGGGAGGACCTAAAGCGGAAAGAGAGAGAGGGATGGAAGATAAAGAAGATATGAAAATTAAGGATTCTCTAACAGACTTACACCAGCAGTCCAGCTGTGCAGGAGAAAGGCTGTTATCTAGAAACCTGAGAAATAGATGGTAACTATGTATATATGCCTCCATAAAATACACAATTGTTCGAATAGAAAAGTACCAGAACCCATAAAAATTGTCTCTTAATGACTAGAGAAACAGAGCAGTTAAAAAAATGTCAGAAAAATTGCTTATTTTACAGAGAAGACACAAGTTTATAGAAAAGCATAAATTTGGTGAAAGCCTGTGGTTGTGCGTATCTCACACTTGGGACATTCCAGCCTTTTTATTTGTTTCTACCAACAGTAATATTTTTCACACAAGCATGTCTGGAAAGTTTTATCATTAGATTTTTAGACTTGAATAAAGAGCTCAACTTGACTATGTGATAGATAATAGTGTTAAAGTTTAAAGAAAAAATAAATGTGACAGACGTTGAACAAATGCCGATTCTTATAGTTACTGGGTGTCAAAAATCACTCTGATATTAGAGGCACCAGAACTGAGAGCAAATTCTTTAGTTTTCTAAGCAGACTTGTGCAGAAAGACATCCTTACCTTCCTGTCATGCACTGATATCTCTGGACACCTGGCTAAATCCAGGATTTGGTTTGCAGTCACTCTGTCCCACTGAAATTCACTCTCAGTTTGCAGTCCTCTCTCTAAATGACTGCTTTTAAGTTGGGCATTTTCCTGTAGTTTAGATCTCTATCTTCTAGATATACAGAAACAAGCATCTATAAAACAATAATGAATAACATGTATAATTTCTGTCATGGTTTACAAAGCCTCTCAGAATATACCTGGTCTCATCTGGGTCTTGCAGGAAGGCTCAGGGAGGGGAAGCGTTAGAATAACCTTTGGCAGGGGGCTGAGAGAGGTTAAGTGATTTGCCCAAGGTCACACAGCTGGTAAGTGACAGATCTTAAACCCAGTTCTTTCCACTCCAGAGCCTATGCAAGCCTACATGCTCGTTAGCAGTTTCTTAATGCTAAGCATAGGTGTTTCTTCTTTCAGCGTCACTCAGGTGTTAGGTTGTGAATCACTAGAGGACAGAAGCAGGATTCTACAGTTCTCCGGGAATGGTGCCTTAGTATCTTCGTCTGCGGTACTCTCCAGGATAAAGAGAGTTCTAGCCATGCTCATCCATCACGAGACATAATAATTCCCATGAATTTTTTTAGGAATGAAAATGAAAAATCTCTTCCATTTCAGCACTGTTTCTTTGGTATTTATGCAGTGCCTACCAAAAACAAGTAACCAGAAATAAGTGGGCCTTAGAATTCCCGGAATCTCACAGAGCTCTTTTCTTCTTTGTTAGTAGGAAGACAGCGTGTCGCTGAGATAATCCTGTGGAGGCCGACTCACGGCTCTGTGGGCTAGAATGTCACACCAGGCTTTTCCGTGTGATTCTGTAAGCGATTCCAGGCTACTCATTCCCATTCTCGTGCTTTGTGGTGGCAGTGGGCAACAAGGAACCTGCGCAATCACCTAGTGATGAAGTCTCATTCATCATTTCATTTTCTTATTGGGAATAATTTAGCCGACATTAATTGAGTACCTACTGCACCAAGCATTGTGCTCAGTAGATATAAAGAATAAAACATTGTTTCTAGAATTAAGGAGCTTACAGTACAGTAAATTTGCCACCCATCTGAACTTAGAAATCCTGCCACCGATGGCTGTTTGAGATTTTGAAAAAGAGAAGCTGAAACTGTGGGAGTCATTAAAACCTGGTTGTTGTAACAAAGCTGGGAAAAGGATCTCATACGGCCACTGGGCTGATCTCCACCACTTGACAACCTTGTAAAATATGATTGCATCATTTCAGGATGAGGAGTAATGCGGATTACTGGCTAATTTTGGCTCACTGTGCTGTGTTATCAAGTGCACTTCCTGAGAGTCCTGTATTTTCTGGTTTAAGGGTGGCTGATGACGTACTTGTAACCAAGGGACTCGGCCCAGCCCAAGTGCTTCTGACTAAGAGGAGCATGCCAAGTAAATAAGCACTTCGCTGTGCCATGCCTGAGAGAAGGAATGCAAAGATTAATTCACTGGCCCTAATATCTTTAATCCAATGATTCACAAACAAACACCACCATTTGGATTCCAGTAACTGTAATAGTATAACAGTCGCTGACTTTTATTAGTGTGTAATTAACCCTGTAGTGTGTCAAGATGACAGCTGTAATTTTCTGTTCACTCAGAGATGTCCATAGACCTCAGTATTCTAACTAGTCATGCGATATCCTTTCAGTACTTTGATGGTTAATGTCAACATTTGTGAACATGTTGACAGCTAACAGTGAGAGGTGTATTTATTACATTTCACAAAGTATGCATATGTTTAATCTTCAACTGGTTTTGAGTTCAGAAGCAAAGCTGGAGTGTGGGATTTGGAGATGGGAATGGAGGGGTGAGGGGAGAGGTGGGTAGTCTACCAAGCCAGTACTCCCAGATTCAAGACCCTTTCAGCTGGCCTGCATGGCTGTCCTTCCAAAGATGATTTGAATTGACACACAATGCTTCTTTAGCTGAGGCCTGACCCAGTTACCTCTCTCTATTGCAGCTCCTTGCTATTCCAGGGCTGTCAGTTCCTGAGCTCTCCAGAGCATTGTTGCTGCTGCAACTTCATCACTGTCATGGAACTGCCATGCCCACACTGATGCCAGCTCCAAGCCACTGCTAGAATATGGAATGCTATCATTACAGGGCTCATAGCTGTGTGCCCCTCTGGCACACCGGGACCTCTCCTGCCAGTGTTCCTCCTCTTCTGGCCTCTCACAGCTTGGTGGGTCTCATGAGGTACCCCAGGTACCATGTTTCCTGTTGTATCTCTTCAGTACAGGGCGCAGACCAAAGCTGCTACATTCCTTACCTGTGGTACATTTCAGCACCCGAGGCCACTAAAGTAGGGCGCAGGCTATCGGTCCTAGCTAGGCTACAAGGAGACATGTCTTTTTTCTCTCTCATTTTTTAAACCCTCTCTTTCCTGCTGTAGTGGCCATTTACACTTTCCTTCTTACCCCTGCAAGATGAGTGCCCTCCTTCCAAAAGAGTGAGGCCTCACACAAATAGGTGATTAATTTCTAAAGTCTCTGCCTGAACCCTGGGCCACCATACTGTTCATGGGAGACTGGAGAGTTGTTTCTATAAATAGCAGTTCCAGTGTTCACCAGTGTGTAAGATGCAGTTGGTAGTCAGAGAGTACAGTGAAAGTTCTTGGCCTTCAAGGTCTTGATTGAACTTGAGACTTTATCCTCATTAGCTTCGTGCTTGGAGCAAATAGCAACTGACTCATATATCAACTTAAAGTTTATCAAATTCTTGAAAATGTTTGGGATCATTTGGTAAAAATGAGCAGAGATGGAGGCTCAAATTGTTTTCTGGGTAATAGATCTTGTTTGAGGTTTTTTTCCCCCTAGTGCAGCTTGAAAACCACCTGACAGTAATTAAATTATTCTAACATCTCACTCCCACCTCCCACACACATTTTCCCCTTTTGTTTTGTTATTTGGTGCTGTGTGCAATTATCTTCTTTTAAGAAACAAGCACAGCCACCCACAACCACACGTGTTAACTGTAAATCTGAACTTGTGGCAATGGGGAGGAGGCATCCTTTTCCCTTTCTCTCACAGGGTGTAAACTGGTTATTCACATTTTCTTTGATGAGAATTTTAAGCACCGAGCCCCATCTTCACAAGCACATGCAGCAGATGGTTAGGAATACTGTGTGATAAGGAAAGCTGGCCAATTTCTTAAGTTATTTTCACCTCCTGAACATATTCCAAAGAAATGCAATGGCATATTTTAGGGTGTGTCTTTACAAGACCTCTTTCCTTAAATACGAATATAATTTGCTGATGTGTTCACTTTAAGATGGATTCATTTGGGGGATGTCTCTGCTGTAAATGATCTTGTAGCATTTTCATGCAAAATTAGACTTCTGTTGAAAGCTCTCCTGGGTGTTGCTGCCTAGGAATTAACCCATTGTTCCTTCTCTTCACTCAGGCAGACTATGAGACAGGAGGAAATGAAGCAAGATATTTAGGTGAACTCCTAATGACGTTTATGCACGTTATCCGTGTGATGAGTTAATCTGCATAGAGAAGGAAAGACGTTTCCAGGTCACTTGATGTGTTCTGTGAACTAACTCCACCATTTACTAGGTTGGGGTCTTTAGGCATATTTCTTAAACTCCATATCTTTCTGTAAAATGGGGTCACCATTGTGACCTCTTTGGGTTGTTGTGGCATTAGGAAAGACAATATGTAAGTAAAGCTCTTTTTTTCATAGAGGTGCTCAATAAAAAGTAGTGAAACTGGTGGATAAATGATGGAGAAATATGAACACACATCTGGTTGCTACGCACAAGGGCCTTCTGGCTGCAGAGACATTCAAAGAGTCCTCCTTCAGGGAAAGTCCTCTGATAGCCAGCAACACCCTAAAAGGCCTCACCTCAACTGAAAATGCTCCCTGGCCTTATATTCCTTCCTAATATACTCCCCTGTCCCAGACCATTGCTTCTGGAGGACATGTAAACTAATAAATTGACTCCAAAGTTGTAGTTTCAGGGGAGAGTAGAATAACAGATCTGTGGTGTCAGCAGAGAGCTCCCAGTGGGAGGAGTAGTACTAATAGCTATAGCAGCAGTAAACCTCCAGGGAAGCAGTGGGATAGAGTATGACTGGATAACAGATCACCCGTTATTTTGGATTATCCAAACTATTGATCAGTTCAATAATCAATGGGTAAAGATAGCGTGCTATTTTATGATGTCATTACTATTTCCGTTAACATAACCAGCTTCAGAATGTGTGTGTATTTCTTCGTTTTAACATATCTTCATCTCAGGATTTTTATTTATATTTATACCATCAACATCAAGAACTTTTAGATTCATTGCTGGGATTGATCCATTTACTTATATATGTATATACACATCTTATAAAGACAAATGACAACCTTTTGGAATGTGGCTTAAATTCTTTGTAAAGATTTGTCCTTGGATTTACTCTGAATAGCCAAATAAGGTTTTAGATGACCTCTAATAAATTCATTTTTAATTGTGTCATTTGTATGGACATTTCATCTCTCCAGTCCAATGGTTGTACATATAGATTTTTACATTAAAAATGTTTGGATCAATTTTAAGTTTGGAAAAGTGGTCATAATTCATCTATTAAAACATCAATGTTATAGAGAAAGGGTCAGTTGCTTTAAAAAAAGGCAGAGTGATTTAGAAGTAATAAACCAAAGACTTTTTCTGGTGTAGACATTGATCAATAAGCTGATACAAATACAAATTCGGAGAGAGAGGAGGTCATGGAGGAAGTAAACGTTTTTATTTCTTGGCAATTCTAGCTTCACATGTGTTTGGAAACAGCCCAATTTTTTGGTTTGTTCCGTGTAAGGTTCCTATTCCCTTTGTCCCTGAATCAGTTAAGGTGTTTACGAGGCCACTGTTTAAATGTGGATGGCCTTTGCATTTTAAAGCCTTTTGAGTTAATGCTTTGGGTGAGTTAGGCAGATAGAGGATGACCTCAGCGGTTCTGGACTAGAAATTCTGAAGGATCGGGAGAGGGAGGCTGGCCTGTAATTCTAGGGCTATGCTGTGTAGTAGCCACTAACCAAACGTGACTATTCAAATGCAAATTAGTTAAAATAAGATTAAATAAAAAATTCTCTTGTAGTAGCCACATTTCTAGTGCTCAGTAGACATATTTGACTAGTAGATATCATGTTGGACAGTACACAGATGACCAGATCTATCACTGCAGAAAGTTCTATCGGACAGCACTGCTCTAGGGACTGGATCCAGAGGCCGAAACTGGGATGCACATGTGGCACATGGTTGCTTGGAAAATTCATTGACAAAGCTGTGAGCAAGATTCATGGAAATTGGATACAGGGGAAGCATCTAGAGGATGGTCCTGTTATTAGATTAAAAGGCACAAATACGTGACTCAGAGAGCCCTCTGACTTTGCCTACTTCCTAATTTTATCAAGTCCTGGCTCAGGGTAAGACTGAGAATGATTAGATTACTGTTTCGTCAAAGAATCTCTTTAATTAGACTACAATTCTTCAGAAGTTTTTGAGGCATTTTTCTTTCTCCACATTCATGCTATCTCATTCATTCACTCACCCCCTCATTTATTCATTTATGCATTCATTCATTCAACAATAGACATTGAGTGCCTAGTATGTGCTAGGGGATACAGCAGAAAACAGGCAAAATTCCCGCCTTCAAGGAGCTTACCCTTTCCTGGAAGGAGACAGACAATAAACAAAAAAAAATTGGTAGAATGTATAGTATATCAGATGGTAAGAAATGTTGTGGAGAAAAATAAAGCAGGACAGGGCGCTGAGAGAGTTGTGATTTTAAGCAGTTATAGAAGACACGGTGGTCTTGGAAGTCCTCAATGACGTGAAACGCGGACAAAGACCTAAATTAGGCAAAGAGGCAGTTCCCGTAGAGACATGAGGGAAATGAGCTCTCAGCGATGGAAGAGCCGGGTGGGAACAGCCTTAGCTTATTCAGGGAACAGCAAGAGGCTGTGTGGCTGGTGCAGAGTGAGGAGGGAATGATGGCAGGATATCAGAGAACACTATGCCTGCTGTCAACGTGCCAATAAGAACTCCACCTTCGTCTACAAATGATTTTGGAAGGAAGCCTTTGGAATATTTTGATTAGAGGAGTGACATGACCTGATTCATGTTTAGAAAGAATCACTCTAAATGTAGTTTGGGAATATTATGCAAAGAAACAAGATGAGAGCAGGGAGATCTATCAGAAGTTAGTGCCAAAATTCAGAGAGTGCTGATAATGTCCAGGAACAGAGTGGTAACAATAAAGCCGTATTTCTCAAACGTTTGTCTTAGAACCTGCTTATACTCCTAAGAATTGTTGAGGACCTCAAGATGTTTTTGGTTATGTGGATTATATCTATCAATGTTTATCATATTAGAAACCAAAACTGAGGCCCTTAAAAATGCATTTATTGATTCATCTAAAAGTGGCAAGAACAAATCTATAATACATTAACATATTATTATGAGAAATTAACATATTTTCCAAAAGAAAAAAAATTAGTGAGAAGATTGGCACTGCTTTGGAGTTTTGTAGGTCTCTTTAGTGGCTGGCTTCAGGGAAGACACTGGGATTCTCATATTTGCTACTGCATTCAATCTGTTGTGATATGTTGTTTTGGTTGAAGTCTATAAAGAAAATCTATTCTTACAGAGATATGTTCTTGGAAAAGGGAAGAGTTTTCAGATAATAGTGGATATTCTTCTTTGACGGTCCACCAAAATTTATAATAGTTCTCCAAGGTAGGTTACGATATGCAATATAGTTTCATTGAAACTATATCAATGAACTTTTTGTACTGTATTGCACTAAAATCCATCAGTGTGTCTTGTACTGTGCATATATGTCTACTCATGCCTCATTGGATAACATCATGAAGCGGTCATTTGGAAAATGTTGAATATTGAGTTATTGCAGATTTTCCAAGTGTTGATGCATTTTATTGTACAATATAAAAAATCACATTCACTAATATCACTGCCAATCTCACCAAAAGTTTTTAAGTATTGGGAAACTCTCAAGCCCACGGTGGTGGATGTGAGTTTCCAAAAATTCTAGTTTCCCCATGAAATCTTGTTTTATCATTGGCACCAATTTCTGTGATTACTTTTCCTTGAAGTGACAAGCACACTTTGTTCATTTTTCAAGAAGATATCTGCAAGTATCCAACGTGAATGATGATGATTTGTCTATCAGTTGTTCTTTTAAGTAAAAATGATGTTCCATGAAAAAAGTGGTTAGCTGAGCTTGCAAAGCAAGCAATTGCTCAAGTGTATTTCAGCATGTGACAAAGTCCTTTATGTATATTTTCCATTTTATCATCTAGTGTATTATAAAAACACGTACCTAAAGGTTGATATTTAATAAAATTAAAAATTGGTACTGTTGCCGCAACTAGAAGGACCCACAACTAAAAATATACAACAATCTACTGGGGGGATTTGGGGAGAAAAAGCCAAAAACAAAAAGAAAACATTGGCAAGTTGTTAGCTCAGATGCCAATCAAAAAAATAAAATTGGTACTGTTTCATTAAGGACATTATTAGGTGAAACTGGCTCCCCTCCCTTACCTTCCTGCCCCCTGTGAATGTGTGGCAGCGAGGAATACAAGACTACTAGTACAATTTGGTGCCATTGCTTTGATTTGTGCTAAGACACTAACAGTTTAATCCACCATTGCTTTTGCGCCATCACTGCAAGTGTCAATGTGGTGAAAAAGTCAAATAATACTTGAGTATTACAAAATTTTTTCCTTGAAGTGACAGGCTCACTTTGTTGGTCTGTCCCTTTAGTGAACACCTTGTAGGCACCCTGCAAGGGTCTTTGGGACTCCCTGGAGTTTATGGACCACAATTTGAGAAACACTGCAGTAGAAGACAAGATATTGTCAACTATTGAATACATTTTGAAAGATTCGATTATGTTTTAGATATAAGGTATAAGAAAAATAGAGTAGGCCAGGATAACTCCAAGGTTGATGGCCTGAACAACTGGTGTTACCATTTGCTGAGATGGGGAAGACTGGGAAGGGAGCAGATGATGGGCTGGGGTTGGGGGAATGGGGATGGGAGGGATGTGTTGGGTAGAGAAGATTAGCAGTTAGGTATTCAACTTTCTGTCTTGGGAAACCTTGTGCTTTGCTTCTAGTTTTTAATTTTTGGTTTTATATTTTCAGAGTAGGAGAGACTTTAAGACTTATTATGGGTTTTAAGCATTTGAAGTATTTCTGATAATTTAAATAGCCATCTTTTGTAAGTTTGTGGAAGCTCCCTGACTGTTCTTCCTAGCTGATGTGGCTTTCTTAGTTCTCACTTTAGGAACTTTCTTTCATTTGGGAAACTCTTTGCTTAGGACTCTGTAGAGCAGTGTTCCTCAATGTTAGTATTTGGGTCAAAGAACCCTTTGAAAATTTGACAAGAGCTGTGGACTCAGTGTACTGCAATGCAATTCTGATGTTAACCACCCAGAGTTAGTGTCCGACTCTACAGGTTTGAGGGCATCATCTTCCACAAGGCTACCCTCACTTCAGATGCCCATTGCAAGTTCAGGGTCCCTAGGCTACCTGCCCTTCAGAGCAACTGGCTAAAAATTTTGGGATTTTGATAATTCCACTACAACAACTCACAGAATTCAGGAAAGTGCTATACTTACAACTACAGTTTTATTATAAAGGAGACAAATGAGAACCAGCCTAATGAAGAGACTCATAGGGCAAGGTCTGAGAAGGTTTTGAACACAGAGTTTTCATTGTCCCCTCTCCATGGAGTCAGAATGCATCACCTCCTGCACCTCCATGTATCAATGTGTTCAACAACCAGGAAACTCCCAAGTCTTGGTGTCCAGAGTTTTTATTGGTGTTTCATTACATGGGCGTGATTGACTGAATCATTCGCCACGTGGTTGAACTCAATCTTTAGTCCTCCTCCTCTCCCCAGGGGTCAGGCTGGCTCAAAGCCCCAATCTTTCAGTCACATGGCTGGTTTTTCTGGTGACCAGCCCCTCATCCTGAGTCATCTTGGTAGTGTAAACTCAGGTGTGATCTAAGAGACTCATGAACAACAAAGTCACTCTTCTCACTTTGGGAATTCTGAGTTCTAGAAGCTCATTGCCAGGAACCCAGGGCAAAGATCAGATGAATTCTGTATTTTACAATTCTCTTCACAGAAAATGTCCCAAGTTTTGCTTAAAATGTCAAGGGTTAATGGATACCTAGAAAACTCCAGGGTAAAAACTTCTGGTTATAGAGTCAAAGACAGGATTTTCAAATGGTGCCTTAAACGTATAGGTGCAGGAAAAGATTTCCAACCTTGAGGTCCAAAGACAACATTCAGAGAGTCATAGGAATGCTTCTACTAATCTAGGCAAGGATAATTACAAAAAAGTACTAGTTCTTATGCTGCAGTATGTAGGTTAATAAAATTTGTAGGACAAAACTGTTGGAAGGAGCAAAGGCTTTTAGAATTCTGATTGATCTAAATGT